CATGATCAAGAGTCACATCTACCAACTAAGCCAGCCAGGCACCCCTTTTATGATTTTCAGTAATAGAAAAACAAGAACATCTTGGAATGCTTGTCTTCCTTTTAGCCTGGTATTATTATTATTATTATTACTTTTACCATCTACTGACACACCTTGCATGTACCTATGTATCACTTTTGTTTCATATTTGAAACACTGTTTCTTCTCTTCTTTTTCCCTTTTCTCTTTTTTTTTTTTTTTTTTTTNTTCTTCTCTTCTTTTTCCCTTTTCTCTTTTTTTTTTTTTTTTTTGAGTTACAGTTATCAGACAACGTTACATTAGTTTCAGGTGTACAGCACAGTGATTTGACCACTCTATACATTATGCCATGCTCACTACAAGTGTAGCTACCATCTGTCACCATACAGTGCTATTACAGTTAGCACAGACTGAACTCCCTATGCTGTGCCATTCATCCTTGTGACTTGTTCATTCCATACTGGAAGACTGAACCTCCCACTCCCCTTTACTCATTTTGCCCACCCCTCTGGGAACCATGTTTGTTCTCTGTATTTATGGGTCTGTTTCGGTTTTGTCTGTTTTGGGTTTTAGATTCCACATATAAGTGAATTCATATGGCATTTATCTTCCTCTGTCTGAATTATTTCATTGAGCATAATAACACCCTCTAGGTCCATCCATGTTGTTGCACATGGCAAAATCTCATTCTGGTTTTTTTTTTAATGTTTTATTTATTTATGAGAGAAGAGAGAGTGAGAGAGAGAGAGAGAGAGACAGCGTGAACAGGGGCAGGGTCAGAGAGAAAGGACACAGAATTTGTCAGACACAGAATTTGAAATAGGCTCCAGGCTCTGAGCTAGCTGTCAGCACAGAGCCCGACATGGGACTCGAACCCATGAACCGTGAGATCACGACCTGAGCTGAAGTCGGATGCTTAACTGACTGAGCCACCCAGGTACCCCGATTTCATTCCTTTTTTATGGCTGAGTAAGATTCATTATATATACACATAAAGAATATTTATATGGAATATTTATACCATTTATATGAACGTATATAAATGGTATTTGTGTGTGTGTGTGTGTGTGTGTATATATGTATATATATACACCATTTCTTCATTTCTTCTTTATCCATTCATCTATTGATAGATACTTAGGTTGTTTCCATATCTTGGCTATTGTAAATAAATCGGCAATAAACATAGGGGTGCATTTATCTTTTCAAATTAGTATTTTTGTTTTCTTTGGGTAAATAACCATTAGTGAAACTACTGGATTGTATGTATTTCTATTTTTAATTTTTTGAGGAAACTTCATACTGTTTTTCACAGTGGCTACACCAATTTACATTCCCACCAACAGTACATGACAGTTCTTTTTTTTCCACATCCTTGTCAACATTTATTATTTTTTGTCTTTTTGATACCAGCCATTCTGAGAGGTATAAGGTGACATCTCGTTGGGGCTTTGATTTGTATTTTCCTGATGATTAGGGATGCTGAACATCTTTTCATGTGTCTCTTGGCTCTTCTTAGAATCATGATTCTAACATTAGGAACCAATTAATTGATACTCCACTCCACTTTCATAAAAAGAGCGCAATTCACGTTATACTACTGTTAGGGTTAGGGAAGGGGTAGAAGCAAGGAGGGCAGAAGGAGGAACACAGCAGCTTTTCACGTAATTTTTAAAATAAATCCCCACATACTGGTCTTATTATTTGATTTGGATTCCACACACACAGAGATATTAAAAATCAAGTTTTTGCTACAAAAGCTTTAAATCATACCTTTTATGAGACTGCAATCTACTTACATAGGGGTAAGTTTAAAGAAGCCTAACTAAAGGAAGGCTAAGGCTCACAAAGAGGGGGAAAGCTATTAAGACAGAATGGGAGCTTTCCCTCTTCATAGCCCCTTATATAGATATGCTGCTTAATCAAGTACACACTTTCTTTAACACCATCCTTGGCATCAGACCTGTTTGCAAAACTGGGATAATGTTTCCTCAAAACCATTGTGCTTTGAGGCAGTATTAATTGCTTTAGAAATATGAGATTCAAGAATGTGACAAACTATCTACAATCACCTATAAATACAGATAAACCTGAAAAGGACCAAGACACTCTAAACAATTAAAGAAGTATTATCTAGTGACTAGTCTGTCTCTACAAAATAAGAACTTGAACTGTATTCTGATCACTATAGCTATAAAATTAAATCAGATTACATTGATGAATTAAGTTTTTTCTTAAGGATAAATTATAAAATTGTACTTTAGTCTTTAATTATAAAAATGAGAACTGCTGAAAATAGTGAAACTGCTGCAATATGCCAATCAAACTAGTGGGAAACCAGACACCTGCTATATTAAGAAACATCTTGCAATAGCCCTATTTGGACCAAGGTCCAAGTGTCAAACAAGTGAAGAGACTTAAAAGCTACTAAATGATTGACTAGATAATTTAGATATCATCTGTACAGTCGGATGCTCTGTGTTGTGGGGAAGTGCACTATGTGAACTTTGGATCACCCTCAACAAGTTTGAGTGCCAAGACCTAGTTACTATCTAGGTTTATATCCTGGTTCCACATCTTAAGTTAATAACTTCTCTGTTCCAGTTTCCTCATCTGCAAAGTGAGGATAAGAATAGTATGTACTTCAATAGTACCTACTATGAAAATTAAGTAAGTCAATATTTATATAATATATAGTGTCTGGTGCATAGTAAGTACTTACATATTAAGTACTATGTAAGTGTTAGCTGTTAATGTTGTTAGTACACAAGAAATAATTAAAACACAATAAAGAAAAGCGCCATTGTACAATACATAAACTTAAAACACAGCGTGGATAATTGTTACTGCAGTGTTGAAGAAAATAAGAGATCCGACAGGTTGAAGTTTGTGGGAAAGGCCTTAAGGAAGAGCTAGGACTGCTTACTGAGCAGACTGCAGTAACAGAGGAAAAATGGAAAGGATTCCACTACCGTATAACAGCACAAACATAGACATGCAGAATAAGTATGAAATAAAAGAAAAGGAAGACTGGGTTGGCTGATAAAAAAAATATTGGTGGATAAGGCTGGAAAGGTAGTCTGTGGCCAAATTATACAGACTCTTTGGACTTGATTCGATGGGTAATGGTGATCTTTTAAGGATCTAAACAGGAAAATGATGTGAGAAGGTAACTCAGGAAGATTTCTGCCTATATGGAATGAAAGGGTATGAGAAGCACAGCTCAAAAAGAATAGAGAGATTTCTGTTTTTACCCCAGGAATGGAGAAGGGAACTATGTATGTGTCAATATATTTCAATGATCTTACATAGTTTTTTAATACATTGTTCTGTTTCATAAAGCTGATAAGGATCAAATGAGTTAACATGTGTGAAAGCACTTTACAGGCTAAAAAGTGCTTCGAAAGTACTAATACCACTACCACTATAGTTTCTATAAAAGAACTTTTTTTTAATCTTTAATAAGTATTTTAATAAAAAGTCACAATGGCAAAAGGTTCAGATATTATGGAGCAACTGCCAGTACTCTAACAAAAGGAAAAAGAGATTGGTTCAATATCTGTATAGCTAATAAAATTTTAAATATGTCTAACAAAGGGAAGAGTCAAGCATCTCACACCAGAAGCCAACAGGGTAATTCCTTGTTCCATTACTATTAAATGATTTCTTTGGTAAGTACTTCCTACAGTTCTCTATAATGTAGGCATAAAAGGGATGCATAGAGAAGCTGGCACTTTACAGTGAAACGTGTGGCCAGTGACAAAGAACCAAGAATGAAAAGATCAGGACTATACAGACTCTGATTAAATCACAGACAAATGCATATGGATTTGTATACCTTACCACAGTCCTAGGATCACTGAGGAAGGAGGATGGCTCCACCTGGATAGAGATGATATTCTACGTAGGTGACAAGACACTTCATTGACCTTCTCAACATACCTACAAGATGAAACTCTGAACAGAGAACTTGCCCATTTGGATTGCTAAAAAAGTAATTTTAGTCGGTCAAAGCATAACACTCAAGCTAGTGAAGCACTATGTTATAATGGAGAACTGAGGCTTGGAAACAAGAGACCTGAATTCAAATTCTAACTCTGTAACTTTCTAGCTGAACATTCTTGAACAATTCACTTAGTAAGTATTCTTAAACCAAACTGAACTGTCTGAATCTCAGACATTTGGAAATCTTACCATTTCCAATTAGAAAAATGCACTAAACTTTATAGTGTTTGAAGTAGCAAATCAAAATGTGAAAGCACTTTGTAAACATCTCCTTAAAATGGTAATTTACAAGAATGATAAGGCCAGCAGAAGATCCTGAAATCTGCCTACTTGTAACTTGATCACTCTCTGAGAGCGATGAGAACTTTCAATTTTTTAGCTATACTACCTAGATTTTGCATTGCTTAAGATGTACAAAATTGAAGCATTCCCTCTTGGGGGTCATAGGTCAAACACCAGATATATTCCAGCAGAGAGCAGGAAAAAAAAAAAAAAAGCAAGCCTCACGGGAATCAAAAAGAGTCTCAATGGTCACAATTTCAAGTCTTTGGGAAATTCTGTGATTATTAGTCTTGGGAGGCTAAATTTTACAAATGAAGTTGTCAGAGAATTATAGATTAATGATAAATTAGAGGGGAACCACTTTGATTCTGTCCAAACTCTGTAATCATAGATAATGGGATAAGGATACAGATAGTCAATAAGGGGGGGAAAAAGGATATAGTCAAGCTCCTAATAAAAAAAAAAAGATCCCGCTAAATGATATATTATCTTCCCTAATGAGAGGAATATTTGTCAATGGAGGAAGATGGCAGCAGGAAATTAGTAATCTAACAAATAAGGTTTTAATAACTACTAGAATATTCCATTCTGAATGGCTAAATAACCTCTTAGAAGAGCTATGAAATAATACTAAATTAAGTCCAAATTCAAGATTGTCAATTATTAAAGAATTTCTTCTTCTTCTTTTTTTTTAGGTGATACAAACAAACTTCATTTAAATGCTTCATGAATCATGCAGTCTCCTTTCAAAGAACTTCCCAGAATTTAGAATTAATCATTGCCCAAATCAGTAGCAACACAAATTCTCATTCATTGCATTGTCATTAATAAACTGGAGCCCTGAAAACTGACTAAAAGAAATAGAGGCAAACACTTACCAACTTGTGAAGTAAGTCATCTTTCTTATTGTACTGAGAAAAAATCCAACTTTTAATGGTTTCAGCCACTTTTAACAGGATGCTTCGCTGAAGGAGATTAATGAGATTATACAAGATGTATTAAACCACACCCAAACAGCAGAAACACTTCAAATAACTTACTTTTTAAAAAACTTTAATGTTTATTTATTTTTGAGAGAGAGCATGAGTGGGGAAAGAGCAGAGAGAGAGGAAGGCACCAAATCCAAAGCAGATTCCAGGCTCTGAGCCATCAGCACAGAGTCCGATGGGGGGACTCGAACTCATGAACCATGAGATCATGTCCTGAGCTGAAGTTGGACACTTAACCAACTGAGCTACCCAGGCGCCCCTCAAATAACTTACATCTAATTAACCAAAATTTTTATTAGACAAAGGGAGGAAAAAACTCATCTAGGTTATATCCTTTGTCAGTATGTCTCAGGCTCCTTAACAGTTCTCAGATTTACTTGCACATCAGAGTCACCTGGAGATTTTAGTTAGAAACATATTTTTCAGTCCCCAAACTAAAGGTTCAGATTCAGTAGGTTTGGAATGAGACCTGAAAAGCAGATTAAAAAAAATTTTTTTTTAATGTTTATTTAATTTTGAGAGAGAGAGAGGCAGAGTGTGAGCTGGGGTGGGGGTGGGGGCAGGGGCAGAGAGAGTGAGGGAGACATGGAATCTGAAACAGGCTCCAGGCTCTGAGTTGTCAGCACAGAGCCCGACGTGGGGCCTAAACCCACGAACTGCGAAATTGTGACCTAAGCCAAAGTCAGATGCTTAACCTGAGCCAGCCAGGTGCCCCAAGAAGCAGATTTTTAAAAGAGCACTCAGAAGTTATCTTGATGCAGCTCATTTGTCTTGGGCACACTATACACATTAAAATTAAATATATTTTAATGAAAACCATAGGGTGTTCCAAGTTCTCAAATACTAAGAACATTTCACTCCACAATGCTAACACAGATATTTTAATCAATTTTAGAAAAAGTGTCTCATTGAAATAAGTTACATCATTGAACCAACCAAAAATTCAATTTCTCTTAACGTTAATAGCCCATTTCCTTTGTATGTAGTAAATGCAGTTTACATTCACTGAGTGATTACTATATCCTGGGTACTAAAAAAGGGTCATAGGAACAAAGATAAATACATATAACTGCTGTTTTCAAAATCTTAGAAGAGACAGTGAATAATTACAAATCAATGTAAAGTCTGGGAAGGCGTTGAGAAAAGATGGCAAGAGGCATTAACGCTGAAGTTATGCCCCAACAGATGAGCAAGAATTTAACAAAGGAGGGAAGAACACTCTGGGCAAGGGAACAGAGTACGTAAAGGGGACAGCCATGTAACCACACACCATGGTCACAGTGGAATGGTCTGGGCTATGACCCAAGGGAAGAAGGGAATAGTAATGAACACTGAGAGGGATTTTAAAGAACTTTGGTCTTACTTCTCCAAAGAGGACATCCAGATGGCCAACAGACACATGAAACGATGCTCAGCATCCCTCCTCATCAGGGAAATACAAATCAAAACCACACTGAGATACCACCTCATGCCAGTCAGAGTGGCTAAAATGAGCAAATCAGAGAACTCTAGATGCTGGCGAGGATGTGGAGAAACGGGCACCCTCCTGCACTGTTGGTGGGAATGTAAACGGGTGCAGCCCCTCCGGAAAACAGTGTGGAGGTTCCTCAGGAAACTAACAATAGAACTCCCCTATGACCCAGCAATAGCACTGCTAGGAATTTACCCAAGGGATACAGAAATGCTGATGCATAGGAGCATATGTACCGCAATGTTCATAGCAGCACTCTTCACAATAGCTAAAACATGGAAAGAGCCTAAGTGTCCATCAATGGACGAATGGATCAAGAAGATGTGGTTTATCTATACCATGGAATACTACCTGGCAATGAGAAACAATGAAATCTGGCCATGTGTAGCAACATGGATGGACCTTGAGGGTGTTATGCTGAGTGAAAGAAGTCAGGCAGAGAAGGACATTGTTTGCACGTATAGGAGGATTAGGAGGAACTTAACTGAGGAACAAGGGGGAGAAGAAGGGGGGAAATGGTGGGGGAAAGGGAGAGAGGCAAACCATGAGAGACACTTGAATGCTGACAAAAACTGAGGACTGATGGATGTGGGGGGGAGGGGGATGGGCATGGAGGAGGACACTTGTGGGGATGAGCACTGGGTGTTATGTGGAAACTAATTTGACAATAAACTATTTGTAAAAAAAAAAAAAAAAAAAAAAACTTTGGTCTTATATGCCATAATAGTTCAGACTTTATCCTGAAGGCTGTGAGGGGGGAGCCACTGAAGATTTTTTTTACGCAAGGATATGAAAAAATAAATATCAGCATTTTAGAAAAAACACTGACTACAGTGCACAGACGGTACTAGCAGGAAATGATTGCAGCCAAAAAGTATCATTTGAAGGATATTTAATAGTCCAGCTAAACAATGATAAAGGCCTAAAGCAGGGTAGCAAAAAGTGGTAATAAATAAGGGTTGGATTTCAGAGACATAAGAAGTTGACGTGATATATCATTTAGTGACCAAATTAATGTGGGAGTGATAGCAAACTTAAGATAACTGAGAGAGTGGTAATTTGGAAATATGGAAAGAATATTTTGTTTGTTTTGGGGGTGCTGAGTTGAAAACAGTTCTGTTTTACACATAATGAATCTGAGTTTCCTGGGGCACAGGGCAGGTGAAAATGTTTAACAAGCATCCAGAACTGAGAAAAGACAGAATGCACATAAGTAGCCGATGAGGGCAAGAAAGTACATGAGATCACTCAGAGAAACAGATCAAGCAGAGAAGGTGCTCAAATTTTATGTAAGGAATGTTTAAGAATAATCACAGGAAAAGAAACTAGAAAAATATAGAGAATGGATATTCACGGTGAGAATACCAATATAGTCTATTCAGTAACTACTTAATAACATTAAAAAAAAGTGAAAAAAGGGTGATTATTCCTAACTATAGTTTCATCACCATCTCAGATAATAACAAAAAATTTGCTTTCCAAAGAAAATAATTGGTACTTCACTGCTTGAACAGAACTTTGGGGGAAATCTAAAAATATACCCCTTGAGAAGGAACTAAGTAATACAACAAATCTTTCTAAAATATAGCGACCCCAGATTTAGAAAAACTCTATTTTAGAAAAATACAGCTCATACAGTTGAAATGTATAATTGAAGACTAAAGGAACTTTCTAGACATGTGGCAATTTTTTTAAATGTTTATTTTTGAGAGAGAGAGAGAGAGAGAGAAAGAGAGAGAGAGAGAGCACGAGCAGGGGAGGAACAGAAAGAGAGGAAGACACAGAATCCAAAGCAGGCTCCAGGCTCTGAGCTGTCAGCCCAGGATGCAGGGCTTGATCCCACGAACTGTGAGATCATGACATGAGCCAAAGCCGTACACTTAGCTGAATGAGCCACCCAGGTGCCCCAACATATGGTAATTTTGAAAAACATTCTCTCGCTATGCTTTTTACTGGTCCTCAATTTCTGAGGGATGAAACTTTCAACTCTCATTTTATTTATTTATAAATTAATAATAACATTTCTTTTTTTCTAATGTTTTATTTATTTCTAGGTGAGAGAGAGAGAGAGAGACAGCGTGAGCAGGGGAGGGTCAGAGAGAGAGGGAGTCACAGACTCTGAAACAGGCTCCAGGCTCTGAGCTGGCAGTCAGCACAGAGCCCGGCGCAGGGCTCGAACCCACGAACCGTGAGATCATGACCTAAGCGAAAGTTGGATGCTTAACCGACTAAGCCACCCAGGTGCCCCTAATAATAACATTTCTATACATAAAAATATCTATCATAAATGAAAAGGATTAAAACTTATAAAACCCGGGGCGCCTGGGTGGCTTAGTTGGTTAAGCGTCCGACTTTCGCTTAGGTCATGATCTCGCTGTCATGGGTTCGAGCCCCGCGTCGGGCTCTGTGCTGACTGCCAGCTCGGAGCCTGGAGCCTGTTTCAGTCTGTAACTCCCTCTCTCTCTCTGACCCTCCCCTGCTCACGCTGTCTCTCTCTCCTAGAAATAAATAAAAACATTAAAAAAATTAAAAAAAAAAAAAAAACTTATAAAACCCAAGTTTTTGAATAATAACAAAAAAAATGCCAATGCCCATATCCTGGCTAAGACTATCCCTTGGCCGATTTTTTGTCTTTTGTTACCAAGTAATCTCAAATCCAAGTTTTAATCTATAAATAACCTATTAGCTATATCCTTAGGTTTTGCTTTCAAAACTCTTCCCAGGAACATCCACATTTGAAAGGGTCAGGGAGAAGAAACGGTTTAAGCCCAGAGAATCAGCAAACTGGTTCTGATCCATGTGAACTCTAACTCCCTAACTGCCAGTCTGTAAGTGGCAGTCAAAAAAACATTTCTCTGGTATTTATTCTGCTCTTGCAAGTGGGCCCAGCTTGGTTACCTCACATTGTAGGGATTTTTCTTTTTTTTTTTTTTTTAAAAAATTTTTTTAAATGTTTTTTATTTATTTCTAGGAGAGAGAGAGACAGACAGAGTGAGCAGGGGAGGGCCAGAGAGAGAGGGAGTCACAGACTGAAACAGGCTCCAGGCTCTGAGCTGGCAGTTAGCACAGAGCCTGACGCGGGGCTCAAACCCACGAACTGCAAGATCATGACCTGAGCAAAAGTCGGACACTTAACTGACTAAGCCACCCGGGCGCCCCGGGATTTTTCTATGAACAGGAGAAAAGATACTTCCCTCTCTATCACCACAGAGTAAATAACTAATTGAAAACTTTAAAAGACTCCTCCCTAAAATAATGATGTCTTGTAATAAAATGATTAAACTAGAATGCTTAAGAAATGAGGTAATCTGGTTTTTTTTCCCTATTAAATTAGAATTCCTTTTGTTAAAACTGAAATGT